TCCCATTCATTTTTGAGTTGTAACAAAGGTCACAATAGCCTTGAATACTATTAAATGATTTCCGAGAAAAAAGGCTTAGCATAAACCCGTACGTAGGACGAAACAATCCTATTTTTATTTCTTTTGACCCAGGAGTACGGATACGTTCATACTTTCGATATCCGCAGTACATTTAAATGGCATACCGGCCATTTCGACTTTGCTAGATACAGCCCATTCAAAGGTGCTGTGCGATATTAAACCAAAGCCAGAAAACGCATCCGGCGGGACATTTTTAGAGAAGTATTCTGCGCATGTCTCCATCTATGCATGCTAACACCCTCACTTCCCAGTGGCAAAAGCTACAGAAAACTCCGAGGTGACATATGCTACCACCAGTAACCAATATCAACTGCTTCAACTTACTGCCATTTTGGTTGAGCAATACTTCGCTGCGCGATGCACAGTCTTGCCCAAGTGGAATTTAAAGAGAAACATATGCAATCGAAAGCTGTCGGATGGCGAGGGTTATCGTTGCTGCACATTTGAGGTATGGGTAACAGCGGAAAGGTCCCGAGTGCTTTTGTGGGAAGTTCTGAGCATACTGTTGTTTTATATCCTACTGTATGCTATATTTTTATTTGCCTTGTACAGTTCATTGTTCTTGCTTTCTGAAGTGCAATCCCATACTTGCAAAACTACACGACTTAAAATAAATTATACTTCATTCCTCTTGGTTTTATGAATGTGCAAAACGAGTCAAATTAAGTACACATAAAAACTTGAGTTTGCATCCAGAAAAACAATATTTTAAACTCTCTCTCCTGATTCTAGAGGCTTTTTTTGTCTTTATTCCCCTTTGCGCCTTCGATTGCACCTCAGTAGTAGTTCATTACAAAGGTTGCTGGCTTTCTCTATTGTCAATAGAACACGGGTGAAGCTTTCCACATGTTTTGTGAATAAAAAACACGTCCTATTTGGTTCTTGACAACAGCTATACACCAACTCATGTTTACAAACAAACCGGAGCGCCCATAGCGGACGCCACCGGCGCCGCGCATGCGCAATGGGGGTGTGGGCAAGAAGCTCGCCGTCGCCCATAAACCATTGGGATGCGATGTTGTCAGCGTCTGTGTGAGTTCCCCTGCCCTTTTTCGCATTCGAATTGTTGATTCTACGTCTTCCTGAAGATGTCTGACTACTTGAGCGGTGTCAGCGAAATTATTGAGGCTCGTTACACCACAAAACTTTGCGTGAATAACGTGATGTGTGGCGATTCATTCTGCACGTCGCAGTATGTATGCCAAAGAATGATTCCCATGATGCGATTTCGCTCGCAATTTTCACTCGTGACGCCGCTCGGGCTGCAAAAGCGTGAACCGCAGCTGAGATAGTCGACGTCGATACTGAAAGTCGCAAGCAGAGTCGGACCAAGTGAATTGGTGATAACAAGTCGGTCATGGTCACTGGTGACAATGATCAACATCTTGTATCTACTGTTTACATCGAGCCTGCTTACTAACCTTCAAACTTAAGTCTTTTGAGGCTTGCACTTACTGCTTATCGCAAGTACCGGGCCAACATTAGGTCTACGGGCCGGCGTCGTCTAAGAGAGCAGATGACAAGCAGAAACGTTTGAAAGAGCAGACCACAGTTCAAACGATCAGGGGGCCGTTTGAACTTGAAGACGCATTGAACCCGCACAACTTGCAGAACCGTCCGCACAACTTGACGGCTTTCTGGCGTTCATGTTGGAACAAAACAAATAAATCTGATGACCACAAGTATCCGTGGATTCAACCCAAAGTGCTTCCCGCCCAAGCAATCGTTGTCCGACGGCGTCTGCTTTTTCCTTTTTACGGCACATATCCAGATTCTCGGACGAACCGAGCACGTGAAAACTGACCTTCAAACCTTTCTCGACACTTTTGGTACGGCCCCAGCCTCGGCGTTTTGACGAGAAGGCAAGTTTTTTTCTGGTTCCTATCAAAAACAATGCAGAAATAGACGCTTGGCATGGGGACTTCTGCCTACAGCCCCAGACCTGAAGTGCGACCGACGTGCCACCAACGCGCCGTGACGTCACAGAGTTGAGTTTGTGTATAGGTCGGATTGTTACATTCTCTTCTCTCCAAAACCAATTGTGTGTCTGTAAGCCTGGGACGCTGTAACTATCTCAGTGGTTTTAACGATAGTGTGTTTTTGATGGGCTTGTACTTGATCAATTCTAGATAACTTCGCCCAGAAGCACAGGCGTGCAAGTTGCACGCCTGTTGCAGGTTTAATTTTATGTCAAATTTGTCATTTGCTTGCCATTCTAATGTAGGCATTGGACTGTCTGAGGCCACAGTCTATACAGTTAGATTAAATTTAACAGAGCTCATAAGGTGGGCAATTAGAAGCTTGAGAAAAAACCTTTGCGAGTTCAGATGAATTTTTATTCAAGCATTGTGTAACAGTAGTGAAAGGCACGGAGAAAGCCGCAGCAACTATTCAATATTCAATTAAAAAATATTCGGCCAAAACCACTGCCATAAAATCCTGAGAGATGCCCGCCCCACCTTCGAAAGGTAACCCACCCCTATTTTTGACTTGATTTGCTATATTCTTTTAAACACCAAAATATAGCCCAGTCCTAGTAATCGCAGTGTTTGGATCAGTGATGACCTTGGTGAAATGCATCTAGTTTTTTTTTTTTAACTTTTTTTGACTGCACACTGAAAGTTGGCCGTTTCTTTATTTTCACCCAGTTTTCTTTCGATTTAAGGTGGGCTACCTCTCCGGATCTTACAATATTCACTTTGAATTTGCTTCGAACCCTAAACCCATTATTTTAACATGCCTAATGAAGAGTTGTCGGTTTTTGTGCAAACGGTGCTCACATCGATCACATAACTAGGTAGCGCTACTTGTTGTGATCAGTTAGAGTAGCTATGTGCTCCGCTTAGGTGCTCTAAGAACAGTAGCCAAAAATATCTTACGTCAAACACAAACCAAAAACTCCATTGATACACCTAATTGGTTCATTGAGACATCTGAGAAATTACCAGCGTATGATCGTTCAATAAATAAATAAATATCTGTAGTGGAAAAGTCCCCTGTAGGTATACCTTATATAGTCTCTCAACACTCCAACAACTGAAGTTTTTTCCACAGACTAACTTTAAAGAGATTGTATAAAAACTTTACATGTAAGCTCAAAATCGTCTGCTCCAAAAATGGAAAACTGCTCCAAAACCTGTTTTTCCCAGGTACTAGAGCTGCTCCAAGTCTCCATTTGTCAGTTTCACCACCGCTTTGTGTTCGAAAACCTACCCGCATTCAGCGTCGCTCTGTGCTATCACGTGACGCGACCCTCCGGAGTAGCTCAAATCTATTTGGGGAAGATTTCAAACACAGCCCTTCTCTTTCCCATTTTTGGGTCCTGAAGAGCAGCGGAAGCCTTGAGCAATTGACCGACAGCCAACAGGGCTTGTGAGTGACTGTCTGTACCCACGGGTGAAATTTAACAAAAAAAGAACTTTCCCCCGGCAAAAAATAAGAAAGTGGATTGTTGTACGACTTGTGTCGGAGTTGTTTCACCTCGCGATCCCTGTTTGGACAGGCCTTAATGTGAGCTTTCGGTTGCACGACAAAAGATCCCAAGGTGGTCTAAAGAATCCCCAGCCCCTCATCATGTTTAGCACGCAAACCTCACAATTTTTGTTTCAAAAATTTTACTTTTTGAGGCTGAATGAAAATTACAAACACCCTTGTACTCAGTGTTTGCAAGTACTTAAAGTACTATTTGGAGTAAGACTTGATTACTTGTACTTCGCCTGAAGTATTTGTTTTAGTAGTTTGCAAGGAAACTACAACCCCCTACCCAAAGTATGTCCCCAAACTTGCTCTTACTAAATTTGCATCACAAAACAGTGCTAGGTCAACTGGGGAGAAATGCTGTGAGGAATATTCTATTCTAGCCAGTTGGCGTTCTCAGGAGACAACAGAGTTTCAGAGAACCATTTTTCAACTCGGATTTCAATACGATTGGCCCAGCTGGTATGAACTATGCATGTAAAGTGTGCATGTGCATGTCATATCGTTATTGGAGTTGAAAAATGGTTCCTTTGAACTCTCTTAAACATACTCTGTTTCAGATGTTTTTACAGCTCTGGGAAACATGCAGGGAAACATGCTCTGGGAAACATGCAAACATGCAAATTTATCTGAGCACTGACTTGTTTGGCGAGGGCTCAGGAAAATTTGGGCTCTTCTAAAAACCATGTGCCGATGTCCTTGTCTTTCCGAATAGTACCTACAAATTCTGAGGTATAGTATAAGTTTCCACCAATCTTTAATATCAAAATGGTAGGCTGTTATCGCACAGAAGTGTTGATTTCTTTCTAAACCTCTTCTGGCCAGTCCTCTAAAAGGAATGACAATGGTAAGGTTGATACAAATAAGTGGCTTATAACTTTATGTTGATTAATACGTGCTTTGCATGTGACGTCATTCCTACTTGCCTAGAACAACAAGTTCGATGTGTGAAATTTATGCTGCAAAAAAAGGTACAGACGCAGGAGCATGGTACAAAGTAATGGCAGTTGATGTGACGAAAATGCAAACCATGCATAGCTCATCGGAGAGAGAAAAAAAGTATTGAATAGCCTCTTGGCCATGTCCGGTACTTGCCGCCATTATTGGCAATAATTCCTATATTACACTCTCGAGTACCCCCCCAAACTATGCATACCATGATTTGAAAGGCACTGAAAGTTGGAATGAAAAGGACCATCAATGATTTGCTTTATTTAAAAAAAAAAGAATGCTTTTAATATATTTTACTTTAACTGCATCGTGCCCTGTATGTATACTTGCGACTCAACTTGAAGTACATAAACTCTCGGCTACTTGAACTTTACTTCAAGTGCTTTTTAGATATGCTTTACTTTATAAAACACTTCTTGAAACTTTGAACGGACACTAACTCAGACAACCAAGTTAGGCTGACAGTCAGGTTTGGTGCTCTTGTGTAGAGGCTAATACTTGGGCAATTTCAACCTTCTGAGCAGGTTCTTGCCAAGTTCATGGACCAACAGGCGCAGAACATCGTGCAGAAGATGGCCAGGGCAAGGATCCAGCAGGAGTACAAGAAGACGACATTGAGGGCCTCCTCGAGCGCTGGCTGGACCTTCCTCCACCATGTATGCTATGTGAGGTTGAGTTCCCTCTGCTTTGCTCTCCTGCTGCTTCTGCACCATGTCCTCCGCTTGCTTCTGTTGCTTCTGTACCATCTCCTCCGCTTGCTTCTGCTGCCTCTGCACCTTCTCCTCCGCTTGCTTCTGCACCATCTCCTCCGCTTGCTTCTGCTGCTTCCGCACCATCTCCTCTGCTTGCTTCTGCTGCTTTCGCATCATCTCCTCCGCTTGCTTCTGCTGCTTCCGCACCTCCTCCTCCGCTTGCTTCCGCACCATCTCCTCCACTTGCTTCTGCTGCTTTCGCACCTTCTCCTTCACTTGCTTCCGCACCTTCTCCGCTTGCATCCGCACCATCCCCTCCGCTTGCTTCTGCTGCTTCCGCACCATCTCCTCCGCTTGCTTCTGCTGCTTCCACACCTTCTTCTCCGCTTGCTTCCGCAGGTGGGAGAGGCTGCTGACTCCCCCGTTGCATGCTTTCCGGATGCGATTCCAGAGGGGCATTTCTGCGGATATGCAGAATCATGGTTGTGATGTTAATTAAGGGGCAGCATACTCTTCATTCTAAAACATGTTCTTTGCTCAGAGGTGGTAGTGCCATTTTCCTGAAGGCCAAGTTTAGTGACTATCTTACCTTTCTAGAAGCCTTTGAAAACTGGTCCAGCGAAGGGTTGCATGTATATTAAAAAAAAAGGTCAAAGACGTGTACACTAGCTCAATCTGATGAATTTAAGTACTCCAAAATCGAGTTCATTAACATTCATGGACGTCCTCCCTCGCTCATGTGTGATGGAAAGCGCCCTGATCAGACCTACTATTTTACGGGCTGCCATGCACGTCTTTTGTTATTTTTGAAGGCAAAACCAACCATGTCATATGTAATCACATAACCATATTATAGGATGTTACACTTCATACCCCAAAAACCGACTTCTGACTGAATTTGAGAAAGAAAAATTTGCCGAGCTAGTGAAGTGCAATGTAAAGCCTAAGGATTTTAAAAGTTATGTCTATGAAAAAACTGGCAAGACTCTTAACTATGAAAGACATAAACAACTACAAAAGCCGCAATGCTACTACAATCAAAACTAGTGGTGCTCATGGGGCCCTGTTGCTCCCACAATTGCAAAGTTTTGCTTCTCAAAACCCTAATTGGATTATACATTAACAAAAAGATCAAAACAATGAACTATTATTGGTCTTATTTTGTTGGGACGCAGCCTGGGAGAAGTGATACCATAGGCGTCCCAAACTCAACTGATCTTTTTATTTCTAAGTGCCTGTTCCCAGGCAGGTCTTCCTCTTCGGCCTCACCTCCTTTCCCCGTCTTCTCCCCCGCACCCCACATTCCTCAGCCACCGCGGTCCGCGGGCGAGGGGAATTCTCCCGCGCGGGAAAAGGAGAGACATATCTGGTTGGCAGGCTAGGCCAGGTTCGTCGGGCAGCCACGCCTGCGCGCGGCGTAATATGATCACCACAATTCTCCCTCCTTAGTGAGTGAGCGAGCGGAAGAAGGAATCACAGGTCGAGCCACACAGGGGCCCTGATACGCCAGCTGCTGCGCGTGGTTCTCGTGCTAGCTGGCGGAGGTGGCACCGAAGGCAGCCTCGCGGGAAATAGGGCCGCAAAGGGGGTAGACGTTGTGGTAGCCGAGCGTTCCATTTGGGCCGGTTTCATGCGGTCGATTGACACGACATCTCGTTGGCCACGCCTGTCGATGGTCATCATCTTGTTGTTGCGGCGCAGCACCATAAATGGCCCACCGTACAGGGGCTGAAAGGGCGCCACACAGCGTTGTGTCGCACGAATACGTGCGTGCACGATGTGAGGTCGGCGCTCACGTGCGCGGCTCGTGCTGTCGGCTCACGGGGAGGGGTCGCTCTGAGTTTTGCCATGAGGTCCCTTAGGCGAGACGCGTAGTCTCCGGTGGCGACGCGGGCTTCTGGTTGACTAGGGCCGAAGTACTCGCCGGGAAGGCGGAGTGTTGTCCCGTAAGTTGCAATTGTACTGTTGACAACTTGTGGGGGGAATCCGCTCGGGTGCTTCCGATCGGCAGCCGACGCCGGGACCACGCTCACCTCTGCGCCCATGTTGACGAGGAAACGAACGCTTTTGGCGCGGTCGGTCAGAAAGAAAACCGAGGGTCGACTTTCCGGCAAGGTGGAGGCACTGGTCGCCCTCAGTGCTGGCCCCGACCGTTTCCCGAATGTTCGCAGGGAGGCACGCAGTTCCGTGCAGCGTTGCCGTACCTCCGGTGATACCAGCATACCTTCTGGCTCTGCTGCGGTTCCGGCTTTGCACTCCGGTTTGGGGGGTGTGCGCCAGATGCTCGTAGGGCCGCCACTGTGCTGGCGAGGCGCGAGGTCTCCGCTCGGAGCTCGTGAAGTTGGTCCGGCTGCGCTGGTTCCGCTTGCACGGTTGCAACAGAGAGTGTTGCGACCGCCATAAGTGCGTCGGCTTGCTCGGCCAGCTTGGATAGGTCCTTCTCTCCGGTGGAGGTGACCACCATGCGGACGTTTGATGGAAGCCGCTGAAGGAAAATCTCCCGAAGCAGGAGACTGTCGAGACCGTCCGCCGTGCTGCCGAGCAGTTGTTGCATGTGGCGTAGCAGTTGACTGGGGGTTCGGTCCCCGAGATCAGCTTCGCGAAGAAGTTGCTGCAACCACTGTGGGTCCGAGGGCGATACTTGGCGAATGAGCGACCGCTTCAGCGTGCTGTTTGCATCCTCCGCCGGTAGGGAGAACAGCAGGTCGCGGATCTCGCTCACCGTTGCGTGCGGCACGCTGCTCACCACGTGGTGGTACTTTGTGAGGTCCGCGGTGATGCGCTTTGCGGCGAACTGTGACTCCACCTGGAGGAACCACAGCTCGGGGTCCGCGGTCCAAAATGGGGGCAACTTGACGTCGACAATCATCGGGACGTCGGAGCTGAGTTGATCATTCATTGTGCGAGTGAGCGTCGCGGGTCAGCAATGTTGGGACGCAGCCTGGGAGAAGTGATACCATAGGCGTCCCAAACTCAACTGATCTTTTTATTTCCAAGTGCCCATTCCCAGGCAGGTCTTCCTCCTCGGCCTCACCTCTTTTCCCTGTCTTCTCCCCCGCTCCCCACATTCCTCAGTCACTGCGGTCCGCGGGCGAGGGGAATTCTCCCGCGTGGGAAAAGGGGGGACATATCCGGTTGGCAGGCTAGGTCAGGTTCGTCGGGCAGCCAAGCCCGCACGTGGCGTGATATGATCACCACAATTTCAGACATCTGTCATGCGAGAAACATTGGAAAAATATCCCGAAATTCTCTTCTTCGACGGTACATACAAATTAATGTGAGGGTTACATTCTCTATTTAATTCTTTGTAAGGATGGTCGTGTGGTAAGGGTCGAGGCATTTGTTATGCATTCCTGCAAAGAGAAACCTCTATTGTTGTTTGCTCTGCTTTTTAGAAGTTTATAGATTGCAACCCATTTGTACTGTCAGTATGTAATATTGTTATGATAGACAGAGACTTGAACGAGCTAAGAAGTTTCTTTATTTGGAAAGACGAGTTCACGTGCCATGTACATAGAAGAATAGTGCTTTTTGGCAATAGCTATTTCAAAAAATAGCTAATGCCAAAAAGCACTATTCTTCTATGTACATGGCACGTCCTGAACTCCTGGTCTTTCCAAATAAAGAAACTTGCTTCTCAACAAAAGAAACTATTGTGGCCACTAAATAAAAAAAATTTTTATGCCCAGAACCCATCCGCTTATGATACGAAGGCTGTGGACCTCGAAAAGCTTTCTCCTAATTTTTTTTGAATATTTTATGCTCAGCTGGGATTTGTGCAAAGATATGTGGGTGCACGCCCATCGCCGTCCTTTACTTACATTAGGAAAAAATACCAACAACCGAGTAGAGAGCCATAATCAAAAGCTAAAAACCTTGCATTCAGGAATGCACCTGACCACAGCAGTGAGCGCTTTGCTAGAGTATGTAGATCATGATCTTATATCACAAGGGTTTGCAAAGCTAAGAGAGGTTAGGCTTAACCTGAATTCAACTACCTTTGACACATTTCAGCTGTGTTTAGCTCAAACCTGCACTCTGGAAGGTAGGAAAAGTTTAGAGCAGTATGAGAAGTTTAAAAGTCAGCACTACACTGTTAGTCTTCAAAATGGTACATATACAGTCAAGTCAGACCAAACAGAGTACATTATACCAAATAGCCTCGACAGCTGCACATGCCTATGTTACTCTCAACATCGACTTCCATGCGCCCATATGTTTACAGCACAATCTTTTGCATAAGTCGAGCTATTTGACAAATCTGCTATTCTGCACCGATGGCGTAAGAACCACTTTCTGAAATCTGAAACTAATGACTGTCCAAGCACAGCTAGCTGTAACCCACCAAGCATAACCAATCCTAACCCGCCCAAGCCGAACCCACTTGCCTGAACCTGCCTAGCCCGAATTTGCCCAAACTTGAACCTACCTAGCTTAAACCCACCTAGCTCGAACCCGCCTAGCTCGAACCCGCCCAGCCGAAACCCGCCTAGCCAGAACCCGTCTAGCCTGAACCCGCCTAGCCCAAATTCGCCTAACTTGAACTCACATAGCTCGAACCCACCTAGCTCGAACCCGCCTAGCTCGAACCCGGCTAGCTCGAACCCGCCTAGCTCGAACCCGCCTAGCTCGAACCCGCCTAGCTCGAACCCGCCTAGCCGGAACGCACCTAGCCAGAAATCGCCTACCCAAACCGTGTTTACATCGGCCATACAAAAAACCCTGCTTGTGAAACAATACCATTCAGGAAAGATATAATCATGCATGCAAATTTTTGAGTGATCTAGTCAAACCAACAGCTTGCCCAATGTGGTGAACGAGAGCTTAATGAAAAATTGGTAAATATTCAGGCACTCCTTAGCAATCTTATAACCTTCCCTAGCAACCAGGTGCAGCTCTTGCCACAGTCTGTTGCACCCTGTGCAGCTCGAGAGGATGTATCTCAGCAGCAGCTAATGGACACAACAATCAACGGGGAAACTTCTTCCGAAAAACTGTGCATTAGTTTGATTACACGCAGGAGAGACAGACCACGAAATGTAAAAGTTACAAGAAAGCGTAAATTTTCAGAAACATTCCACAACAAAGCACTTTGTCTTAGTATGATAGGTGCAGAGCAGGGTTGGGCAGTATCACGATACAAATGTATCGCGATAGTATTTCAGAAATACATTTCGTATCTATTTCTGTATTGCGATTCCTTTTTTTTACCAATATCTGTATTTCTGTATCGAAATACATTCGGAAAGTTTCTTTGTAGCGCGATACAATCAGGATGAAATGTATTTCGTTACATTTCTTGAGAAATGCCCCCCCCCCCCCCCCCCCCCCCCCAAAAAAAAGAAGTCCGAACGCTTTTTTTTTTTTTTACTTCTGAGGGCACCAGGTGATACTGGGGCATTGCTACTATGCTGACCAAAGTTCCTTTCGGTTCTCCAAATTATTTTTTTATGCGTCCT